GGGAGAAGGTGTTAGGCATTCCCGAATTCCGTGGTTCTAGCACGGTTGCTTAACCATTTTTAATACTTGGCTTAATTATCTTGATTTACTAAATATATTTTTCTTATTGCCTGATTTTATTGCCGCTTTTGTTTAGATTGTTTATAATTATAGACCTTCTTTGAAACGAATCACGCGCACGTATATTCGTATTATACATTTTTATAAATGTAAAGAATCGTGTCACGCATACGTGTACACAATAAGATTGAGAATATTTTTTTTTATATTTTTATAAAAAAAACTTATGTTCGAAATTAAAATAAAATTAAGAACAATTCGTCACTCTTGTATGATTAAATAGTGAACTGCACATCTCGGGTTATACAAAATTAATTTAATATCCTCCGACGAATCTCCTTTTATTAAAATTTTTGCTCAAAGTTGCGCGAACGCATAATCCGAACTACCTTAAAAAAATGTAATTAGGCCACGCGAACGTATCCCTAATTTCACAAAAAAAAAAACATTTTTGATGGTAACATAAAATCCTCTACAAATTGTTTATTACATCCATCTATATGAAAGTCATGGGAAATCACCGATTTGGACGTCTCCACATTTTTTGAAAAGAATTCAAAATTTATTATGTGTTGACCGCAAGTTTTATTTTACTCGTATGAATTATATACCTCAAAACTATTCAAATTTTAAAGAATTAGTGATATAAAAAAAACAACGTGTGACTAAAACTACCATTTTTTATCATGAATACAATATTTGTATACCCAAAAAGCGAATTGCATGCCAAAACTAGGAAAAGAATTAATTTGATAAACAAACTAATAGTTTTCGAAGAATTTACATCTAAAGCGAACTCTATTTTTTTTGTATATCTTTGACTTAGATGTGGCTATTCATATTTGTAAATCCCACCTCCTTCTCATCTATTTGTTTTTTTTTAGTCCAAAGTTATAATTATTTGGTTAATTTTGCTTATGATGATTGAGTTTGGGATAGATATAATCAAAGCAATTTTTATTCTCAACCTAGGCGAGCTATTTGCAAACACTAACTTTACACGTTGTAAAAATTGCTGACGTTATCTTTTTACATACTATTCTTAAGAAATGAATTGGTCATATCCCTAAAATAATTGGGCCATTTGTTATAAAAAAAACTACTTACAAATCGAT